CTTTCAAGTCACTTTTCCTTTAATCTATCTGTAATCACTAATTAACTAGATCAATACATACTCGATTTCCTCTGCCCACCAACAACACTGTTATGTAAGGGCGGAAATAAATCACTGTAATCTTGGGGGGCTGGAACTCTTACTGGCCAAAATTTCAATCACATGCAGTTTTCATCATTTTTTGAACACTTTGAAAGAGCTCTTTGAATCTCAGGGCCCTTAGATTGGGGAGGATGTTGATCTGACATTATTTATGCCGGGATACCTTCTTGCACCCCCATCCTTAGCCTTTTCCAAGACGGTATTTTTTACTTATCTGATCTTGAATAATAGAAATCAAGATAGGAAAAAGATACCGACTTGGGCAAGGCTACCCCATCCACCCTATTCTAATCTTTCCGGAAACTACTCCCCATGTGGTGCGATCCCATTCTGATACTCATAGCATCTTTCTGTTTCACCTGAAACATCATTTCAGGACTGAGAAGAAATGCGATGTCATGATGTGCGATCGTGGCGAGCCCAAAAAAATGTTAAGATTTATTTTGAGTTTTACAAAAATTGATGCATCTTTCAAAATTCTTCAAAAGTGAGATTGAAACTTCAAATAAAAAATTGAAAGCTCTTTTCTTCTATCTAATGGTTATATTTTATAAGCTTTTTTTGGGGGGGTGCCTTCGCACTCCCCCCCCCCCCCCCCCCCCCCTCTGCCGTCCAGAGAGAGAGAGAGAGAGTCCAGAGATAGTTTGCAAAGCGTGCTCACGGCTTTCCATGGAAAACATCACCAGTTGCAACTAGTCTCTTTTTTTCTTTTTAATTTTTTTTCTTTTTGTAGTCTCTACAACTGTCACTGACTGGAGATCACCTAGACACAGTTACATCATCATGATATACCATGACATCTCATTTCTTCTCAGCCCTGTACACATACCTGTGCTAATATCTGCTGTTAAATACAATGCCTATTATGTAATGTATTGACATTAGGTAAATGATTACATGATAACTATCACACTTATTGACAGTTATAACTCTTCCCATCTGATGGGCTCAGATCACAGAATATGCCTCATAATATCAGAGCATGTTTCAGGTGAAACAGAAAGATGCTATGAGTATCAGAATGCAGTTACATGTACATTATGTCAAGGTGAATACAAAATATGCCCTTTTTGGACATCTCGAAGCTGTTGTTTATGACTTCAATACGGTACATCAATATTGATTTCCTCGCTAAGTATTCAAAAAACAATTTTGATAGGCTTTTTTCAAAAATTTTACACTTAGCTTACGCCATTTTAATTCATTCAAACCTAAGACTCGTGCAAATGTATTGAATTGTAAATTGTATATTTACATTTTCCTCAATTAAAATTATTTGAATGATCATCTTTACGATTCAAATGATTTGATATGGTGATCAGAAGTGTGCATTAAACAAAATAGAAGTTCAAACAATACAAATCTGAAATTGCTAGAAGGCATCATGTGCCTCCCCAAGGCCAGTAACATATCTATGCAAATAAATAATCAGTGTCGATCCACATTATAAATGGCTATAGGTCTTAAGCTTGAAAAACTATTTCTAGACTACTCCACGGTATATCTTCTGGAATCAAGGTGGTTCAGCAGTTATAAAAACAAGGAAGTATTTGGATTATAAGGAATTAATATTTTGTTTTCATTTGATAATATTCATAATTGGTTCATGGGCATTCCATGCTTTGTTTAACAAATTTGAGACCTTTGTCTCTGATTGTCAAAAGTGAGACACCCCAAATTGTTTTTTTAAAGTGAACCCCCTCACACCCCAGACCGCATATATAATGTACATTTTGTATATTTTACAGATATCAAATCCACCAGGATTCATTATAGCAAAATGATAGTTCACAAATGAATTCAGCTGTGGGGAACAGCAAAAGTACGGCTTGAGAGGGAGGGGGTATGTATAAACCCGGCAAATATAAGGGCTTTAACATGGGATTTAGGGGTAGGTACCCTGCACAAGTAGGGTTTTGAAGGGAGGTTGAAGGGGTATGTTACCTTCAAAAGTAGGATTTTAACGAGGGTCAAGGCCTTAGGGGGTAGGCCCCCATGTAGACACCCTGTAAAATGGGTCTTTAACAGGGGTTGAGGATTGATTGAAGATATCCTGGAAAAGCTTGGCTTTAACATGGGTTAGGATGTTAGTTAAAGTAGGGGCTTAATGTGGTCTTAAAAAGCTCCAACGTTCCACTTAGGGTGGTTAGTCACAATTTTTTCTCTAAAACTCAATTGTATTGTTGTAGCCAGAATGTTTCGGGTCAAGAGACCAACTGCGAAAGAAAGTTATCAAAAGGATTAATGCAAATGCCTTTTATATGAACAAAATGATTGTCAACTACACGTAACATGTACAGGGGAATTTCCCGCCCCTGCGATCTTATTTGTCCATCTAGAATAAGATAAACCATGTAACCAGGTCCGTGTATTCCATTCTGACAGAATTTCAGATTCAATTTCAAATTAAGTTTATTATGTTCGGAATATCGAATGTCCCTGGGAGAATCTCTTTTCGAAATTATAATGTCAGATAGATACAAAATAATATTGATATAACTGAAGACACTTAATTTGGCTCTCGTTTTAATTAGACGGCTTGACGGAATCAGAAAATCCGCCAAATTAAAATCCGTCAAATTTCAGTTTGGAATTTTTGTCAAATGCACTTTAGAAATTAATGTTTTGCTGTCAACTGAGCATGTCATCAACATGTCATACATTATCCCAAAAGAAATACAGAAAATATCTTAGTAAATACCCGTCCTAATGACATAAACCATGGGCTTTCAAGAGAATCTTTTGATAGCCCATGCATAAACATAGACAAAAATTAAACTTAGTCCGCCAATCTGTAAGGGGGGGGGGGGGGTGCTCAAGGCATAAAAATTACCGGAGAAATAGATGAGATGATGAATATGTATTGTATGTTTTCCAGTAAAATTGGTAAAATTGGTTAAAGTAAATTGTATATGATAATCAGATTCAGAGATACACAACTAAAATAATGAGGAATTAAAAATAGCCTATAGACCATGTAGACTGCAATCATGGACTCTCTTGAAAGCCCATGCTGTAATCAAGGTAATTTTGGGATATCCCGTCTTTGAAGAAGCAAAAACGCAATCAAACAGTTAATTAGTTATTATGTGATCTGGATTACAGATCAAAGAAATCAATTCCAAGATCATTATTCCTATGTATTTAGTTCGTTGTATTTTTGAAAAGGGATACAAGAAAACTATGTATTAATATATCAAGGGCAGGGTGCTATTGAATCTGATAGTTAAAGCGTATGCTAGTATGAGGGGCGAAGGGTATGAGTCAATAAAAAAATTTGAAAAATCTCAATTTCTTTTTTTTGGGAGGGGGGGGGGTGTTAAGGGAGGGGGCTGCCAGAGGGGGAGGTGGGGTGGGGATGCCAGAGGGCGAGTAAGTGTTAGTCTTCCAGAATCATTAACTTTATCAAGGAGCTATTTGATGATGTCTGGGCAATTTAAGTGTCTGAGACAATACATAAAACAAATTCAGAACTATTCCATTGTTTTGTTTGGGGTGTGAGGGGTGGCCCACTCCCCCTAGAAAATTTTACAATTTTACGACGCTATTTGGTGCTTTCTGGGCACTTGTATGAGTCAATAAAAGAATTTGAGAAAATCACTTTTTTTTTGGGGGGGGGCGCCAGAGGGGGGGGGGGGTTATGCAAGTGCAAGATGCAAGAGGGGGAATAAGTCCCCCAGAAACACTAACTATATCAAGGAGCTATTTGATGATATCCTGGGCACTTTAAAAGTGTCTGAGACAAAACTCTAAAATACATTTAGAACTTTTCCATTGTTTTGTGGGGGGTGTGAGGGGTGGCCAATACCCCTAGAAAATTTTACAATTCTAAGATGCTATTTGGGGCTTTCTGGGTACTTTCAAAGTGTATGAGTCAATGAAAAAAAAAATTACAAAAAATTTTTTTTTCAAAATTCTTTTTCAAATTTATTTTGGGGGGTGACAAAGGGGGGTGCGGTCGCACCCATCGCACCCCCCCATCTGACGGCCCTGCCCACCCCTGGAATAAGTTAGCCCCCCCCCCTCGCCGACAGAGATGTCTAGTTTAAAATAATTCCGTTACCCCCAGCCAATAATTCATTCACCATTTTAAGCAGTTTTCGTGTAATTTTTGACCAAATATCAAATGTGACCTCACCCCTGGAATAATTCAAAATTCATCCCCTTAGCAAATGCTGGATTCGGCCCTGGTACTTGTCAATGCGAAATAATGGGTATTGATTAGTGGAAATACCCATTTAAACAGACCCTCTTAATTTATAACAAGTTAACAATTAAGAAGCCATGTTGCGATGTACTTTTCGTGACTCAAGTCGGATAAAAAGTGAAAACATACTCTTTTTGATTTGATATCCCGTACGAAATATTAAGACGTGCGGTGAATTATAATTTAAATGTTTCCATATATAGCGCAAAATCTCACATGGCAATTTAATAACGACTAATTTTGTCTTGTGTTTAACCACGGCGTGCTTAGAGATTTCTAGACTCTAGTCACGCTCTGTCCACGCCAGCTCTAAGCACGTCTAAGCACGCCTAGAAATCTCTAGATACACGGAGTTCCTAGACTGACTAAGCACGTCTAGAAATTACTAGAAATTCCACATTTGATGCAGTGTCCATTTTACAAGTTTCACTGTAATAGGATTAATATTTGCTTAATATTTCCTTGAGTTTACTAGAAATTTCTCCAGAATAATCAGATATAATATTTTTCAATGTCCATTCAGGCAGATTCTATATAATGTGCCATGCAATGTATACAAAAATAACAACTTCAAATCCATAGGCCTTAAGAAGAGGGGGAGAGACCCCAGATGACATACGCTTATTATGTAAATCTGTATTGAGATGACATCGTCGCTGATTGGTTTAGCTGATTGGTTTTGTTTACTTACTTTCCTGGATTGCAAAAATCTCTGGCTTTGGTCTGTTCGTGTTGTCAAAGTTCTGGTAGTCAAGGTAGTACTTGTCATAATGCGACCCCAGGAGGGTATCATAGCCCATCATCTCATACCGAATAGGTTCTTGGGTGTCACTCTTCACCCACATGGTGTAAGTGTTCTTCTTGGTTCCAACCTTATTGATACTCTGCCACATATCTGACATGTCATTGAATCTCACTTCATCACCTTTCTTGATCAACTGGAATAATTAAGCATTCTATGATTTTTTAGTTTACCTGCTTGTTGATTGTTTCATTCATAAATTAATAGCCTATATTATCATTAAATAAGGGAATTAATATGGTATCATTTGTGCTGTTTTAGTACACCCTATATTGCATGATGTTTGAAATACTTGCAAACTCATATGAATCTTTTATTGTTATAAGGGGCATCATACACCTTTCAGTGGTGTCTCTCTCCCTTCATCATCTTTGTATTGTTGTATGTATATATATTTAATAAATTGAAATTGAAGTGACTGCTAATTGATTTTCAGGTATGGTGCAAATCTTTTTTCAAAATCTCAAATTCCTGTAATGTCGACTTGTTCCTGGAAACAATTCTACATATAGGCTACCCTCACAATGTCGATATTCAGGATTCAATATTAGATATGACTCACCTTGAAGTCAGTGAGGTTTGGAAGTACACCTTGAATGGTGACAGGTGCATCCTTAGTACCATTGGACTGGAAACACGTCCTCTTGTTAAAGACAGTGTCTGTTGACATAAAAGCCACCTTATTGTTTACACCAAATGAACCAAGATCTGCCCGCTGGAATGTCTTCACAGTAGCTAAAAATAAATGTATGTTATATACAGGGTGGTCCAAAAAAGTAAACCCTTGCAAAAAGCTATATCTCAGTTATTACTTTCATTAATAGGCTTATATTCTCACATGTTGTTAAGGAAGGTCTAAAGTTTTTGTGGGTACCATTAAGGCCTATATTGTACATAGTAACTATATTGTGCATAGACATTCAAATGGTATAAAACTTACTGCCATAATAATCTATTCTGCTTTTCTTTGCAGCACTATCATAATATGCAGCAAACGGCTCGGCAAGTTCTGCGTAAGGTAACCTCAGGGTACCATAAACAGTATAGAAGCTACCCCATTTTGGAGGAACATCCACGCTAAAGACAAACCCTACAATCAAGGTAAATATAAAGAATACCGTTAATTGATACATGTATGCAAAAGATTGAGACATTCTCAGGACTATGGTCCTGGCACAGGATAACTGAGAACGTCTCAATCTTTTGCCTGATAATTGTGGATTCAACTGCACAAAAAGAATGCTAAAATACCCAGGGATCTATTGAAGTAGGTATCTTAGTGTAAGAGTCTTAGTGTAAGAGGCGTAGAAAATTCTCCCATGTTGTAATCGTACAGGCAAAAGATTGAGACTTTCTCAGGACTATAGTCCTGGCACTGGATAACTATTGAGGGTTGCAGCAAAATTCTGAACATGGAGGCAATGTGCCTATTTTGGAAGGAAAAAGGACAAAGTATTATATGAGACATGTCACTCACACAGCCAATCAAATATGATAAAAACTTTAATTTGGTATAATACTGAACTGAAAAAAAAATTACTCGCATAGAAAACGGGATTTGAAGTTCAGAGACTGAAAAAAGTGAATTACCACTTTTCACATTTGTGGATGTTTTAAATAACTCTTGGATTAAAAGATGGCGTATGCTTGAAAATCCTATCAAAATGAATGGATAATTAATGCAAACAACAATGCCATCTATCTATGGCATGGCTAAAAACTTGACACATATAAATTGATAGATCAAAAATATTTTTTTATTATCTAGTGTCAACTCTGATGTGGTCTGTTTGAGCTGTTTTTGGTGTCAAATGAAAGATCGGGTACTTATTTATCCATTGGAAATACTATGAAGATCAAAAGTGAGACTTCATTTACGCACTTTGTCCCTTTAATGTGGAGTCTATGGCTAGTTGCACAACAATTTGGTAGAGTTACATGTATAATGTCAGAAATAACAACACTTTCAAGTTGTCACCAGGATGTTGCTGTTGAGTTAACAATGTAAGCTAGGGGTTTTTAGTACATATTGCACAGTGGCAGACTGGTAACTAGATACGTGTTGAATATTATACCATTTTTCTTATTTTTCAGGATCAAAGTTGACATAAAAATCAAGGAGGATTGGCTCCCAGAATGCAACACCGATATTCTGCAAAACAATCACCTAGCGATAACTTTGTTGGAGAGTATCGGGTCATTCTCCATGCAGTCGTACAAATTATACAGACACGAATAGCAAATGACGCATGCGTGGAGATTAAAGAATATCGAGTTGGAACCCTGGCTTCCAATCCTCCTTGCATAAAAATCATGGTCAACATTGCACTGCAATTTGCAAGTTCAGAAACGAAACTCGATATCCATAATTTCGAGACACTCCATGCATGTAAGTCCATTGTAAAAATACTACTAGGTTCAGCGTAGTAAAGTGTTATCAGAATCTATATTATTTATAAGAAATATAGATTTAATTCAACAGAAACAGTTCCTTACCAGCAAGAAAAGACAAAACCAAAAATTTCAATCCATCCGCCATGTTGTCCTAGTCATGTGATCACGTGATGAATTCACATGATCGTCACATGATCGTGAATACACGGTGGAATAATGCAACACACCGCCAACAAGTTGGACAATGGAGACCCCAGTATTATTCCAGTGTACAATCATAGTGTAAAGAGAAGAATTGAATCCTTTGCAAAAATGTAATGCTTAAGTTACTTACAAGGTGCTTCACAGAGCCACTGGCTCTGCTGGGGGCCCCGTTCTCCCCCTCTTTGAGCTTAGTGGGGGCAACTCGGAACGGCAAATACTATAGTTTGGGAGTCGTAAGCAAATCGATATTATGTTGTCATCTCAAAGTCACACCTGCGCAAATGCACTGCCGTTATGTTTAGCGCAAAAAAGTAGCTTTCTTATTACGCGGAAGGCGCCACCGTTACTCAAGTTGCGTAAATCAGTTCATATCGAGATTTTGACGTCATTTGCTAATTAACATAATGTGACGTCACGCATGCATCATTGCAGAATTCTAATGGGATGTCCATATAGGACAAAATTAAATATCAAATAATTAAATAAATGTTTAATTGATCCATAAGCTCAGGGTTAGAAATGGTGAAGATACTAACAAAGGTCAACTGTGCAAAAAATTGACGATCAACTATGAAAATATTTTCTTCCCCCAGAAAAAACAGTTTTTTGGCAAAAATTCCTATACTTTACATGTAACCGATCTGAAAAAAGTGCAAAAATGGCGAAATTGGCGTTATACAAATGTAATTTTTGCCTTTAATATTCTTTTAAATCGTTAGCTCAGGGTTGGAAATGAAAGAACACGACTAATACGTTTATATTAACATATTTTATTTACACCACATTTAATAACTTTTCTTCCTGACAAGTTACAAGTAAGGTCGTTTTTGAAATACGACGCCGTTTTCCAACAATAAATAGCTAAAACGTCACACATTTAACATGTTTAATTATAACGTACTTTATTCATAATACAACTTATTTAACACTGTAAGTTGCAACGATGTTCTTTTCATTTTCTCTACTGGAGGAGTTGATTAATTTAAATTTATTTATTTTCCAGTTTATAATGAAAGCTATGGCTTTCTAGCCTTCCTAGCATACATGGGGCACTGGGCCAGTCATAAGACTGCCCCATACGCTAGAACGATGCGCAAATCATGAAAAATGGCCCATGCTTAAGTGAAAGATAAATAGTGTATAAGAGAGGTATGAATTGATTAATTTTACAATTCACCATAGCTCTCGGAAACAATATAATTTATATTTCAGTTACACAGTGTATACTTGGGCTTTTCTTTTTTCCATCTGCGCGTCTTCCTAGCGTATGGTGCAGTCATTGATTTCCTTGTTCGTACACGTAGCGCTTCTACGGATGGTTTATGTTTTTGGGTTTTCCTATGATAGAGTGATTTGATATCATCATTGGACTTTTCTACACCCTGCCCTGTAAAGATTTTAAGGCTACCATAGTAGGATAATAATTTAATTTTACTGGGCCTAAGATCCGCTTTGTTTTGAAAATAAGACAGGAAATCTACTCGCACTCCTCTTGTTTTCATGATCTAGTGGTTTACACTGTAAACAAGATTTGGCGCGACTTATAAAACCTCGCGCGGATGTTTTAGTACTCGATTACTGTAACGCTATTGGATCAGCGGAATCACGTGACAATAACAATAGGTTTAAAAGCACGTGGTAAAATGACGCTAAAATCTCGATATGTGATTTTTATTTCACAAACTCCACTTTATTTGCGGCATCACAAATAGAAAAAAACTTCCGCCCTAAAACCCAAGAGTGGGACCAAATTTTGAAATTTTGAGGCCCATTTTCTTCAAAAGGCCCAGTAATGACCAAAAAGGTCCACTTTTTGTATTCTGGACCCACCCAAGGGGGGCCCGGGCCCTCAGCCCCCCCCCCCAGATCTGCCAGTGACTACTGTACATTTCACGTACATTTCTGAAGTATGGAAATTAAATTTTAAAGCTTCTAAAAGCAAAGATTTGACCTTTTCCAATCCAAAGAAACGTGAAATTTTGACCATAGATCTTTCTCTCGGAAACGACATTATACCAAGAGTAAACAGCCATAAGCACTTAGGCTTAATCCTAGACAGAAATCTCACTTTTGACCTTCACATAACTGAACTTGGTGCAAGAATAGACAAACTTTTAAATCCACTGAAAGCGCTCTGTCAGAAAATAAATGGAAAACATCTCGAAACAATCTTTAAATCTTTTATCCTGCCACTTTTTGACTATGGTGATATTTTATATGGGTGTACAAACACAACAAAATTACAGTTATTAGATCGACTTTACTATAAAGCCGCTTGCATTTGTTCAGGTACTCTACATGGGACTTCGACAATTAAAGTGTTGAATAATTTAAATTGGCCAACATTAACAAAGAGGCGTCAATATCACAGAAGCATTTTCATGTATAGGGCACATAATAATATGCAGCCCTCTTATGTTCTTAACATATTTGAGCCTCTCAAAAGAAACCATGCTTATGGTCTAAGAAATCAACTGAGCTACACAATTCCTAATAAATCCTCATTTTCTAATAGATCTTGCATATCAAAAACACTGACTGAATGGAATAAGCTTTCACCTGAAATAAGAAATTTACCTACCCTTAGTATATTCAAATCCAGACTTAAAATAGATCTATTCAATGACGATGTTACAAATTCATCAGAACTCTCAGTTTCAAGAAAACAAGAAATAATTTTCAATAGAGTGCGCTGTGATCTCATTTTTAAGGCTCACCTTTACGTTCACAATTTCACTAATATAAACTCCCCCATTTGCCAGTGTGGAATGGATGGTGAAACAACCAATCACGTAATTTTTCACTGTAATCTAAGATCAACATTTTGGACAGAATTTGAAAATGAATTAAAAAATATGAACATAGAATATTCTACTAAATATAGATCACAACGAGACAAACTCTCCCTTATCCTCAATGGCGATAAAAGGCTACCTAAAGCTGTAAACTTAAATATCCTCAAATGTAGTGCCATCTTTTTTGAACGATGTAAAAATGTCTAGGTCACCCCCACCACTGTAACCCTCCACAAATACAACCCCTATTTTAATAATTGATTGAATACTGTTAATTGATTTTCATCATATAACGTGGCTGATAATGCTGATGCCCAGCCACAAGCACATGTGCACTTGTTTACTGTATTCTTTGTATAAATATATAAAAAAAATAAAAAAAATAACATTATTTCATATCAGTTTCAACTTCTCGGAATGTGAATGGACTGTTTACACCCCTTCCACAAGTTTGGCAATCTCACATACCCCTTACCTCTCATTGGACCACGTGTTAAAACCTGTTCAAATATGCAACCAAAAGCATAAAAGTAATTCTTCTACTATACTTCATTTTGCAATAAATTAAACTTGTATCAAATAACAATAGAAATGTTAATCGTTGAGGCTAAATATTTGACCTTTATAGCATTGTTGTAACTCATTTGTTATGATTTAAAGCTGGCACTGTTTTCGAGATCATTTATAGAGATACGAATTATACAATGGGTTTTATCTCAATAAATCATCGCCATGGCCATAGTCAGAATGGACAGTTGGCTCGTTGTAATGAATGAATGTAAAATGAATCAAGTTATTAACGTTTTATTATCATCTTATAGTCATCAATCGAAGTATTCGGCTCCATGAATCATGATACGACATTGCTGCGATATAATTGGAGATAAGTGAAATGTGAAAACATTTTTTAGGGAAAGATGCTCTCTACCGGACTCTACTTTTTAAAACCTCGAGCAAGTCCTAAATAAATCAAATAAATGGTTGCAATTGTGATCCCCATTGTTACGCGGTATATGGCATACATTCATGGTTGCGCGGTATTTGTGATACGCGTGAATATGCCATACTCACCTGCGGTATATGGCATATTCCGCAGGTGAGTATGCGATATTCCGCAGTGAATATGCGATACATTGATTTCAGTGAATACCCGATACTCACCTGCGGAATATGTCATACTCACTTGCGGAATATGCCATATACCGCAGGTGAATATGGCATATACCGCAGGTGAAAACGTGATACAGAAAGCCTTGATTTGATTGGTTGCGAGAATCGACTCTAAATGTAAAACTACGCTGGATAACCAATATAGTTAGTGCGTCGAGTACTAATATATGAATCCTGGATTGATTGAGTACGTTTATTAAGCGAGATTTGTGACTGATACTTCTGCTAAGTTAATATATTCGATACAAAGTACTGTTGATTTAGTAATCCTTATAATAATTTATAACGTTTTACTTGTTCGTTCAATCTATGCAATTGACAATTGCGTACTTCCGTATCACGTTCTCATTGGTTAGTGTGTATGCCATATACCGCAGTTGAATCTGTCATACACCGCAAGTGAATATGTCATATTCGTTGCGGAATATGACATATTTTTGTATCGTGTTTACCGCATAACACCCATAGTTACAAACCAAAAGGTTTGATGAATTATAAATGATGCTTGCATCATGAATAGATTTTGGGTATAAATTACCTATTCTAACCTTGCCCAAGGCGGTATTTTTTTTACTAATCTGATCTGATCTTGAATTATTTAAAGAGACCGACTTGGGCAAGGCTATACCTATTCTTGATCATAAAATATCAAAGTTTAAGTGTATTTCTTCAGTCATATGAAATACCAAGATGACTCAAAGTGAGATTTGTAGAATCACTGGATTTGCCACAAAGCTGCTCGAGATGCATATGATTTATGGACGAAGGTGTTAACCATTACAACAGTGTCCGTAGATAGAAAATATTATCAAATTGCTCTTAAATTCCTTGATAAATTCAACAATCACATAATTCCTATAAGTAATTTATTTGGCTTATACGCCAGAAACGAAAGAGAATCGAAAAAATACTGAAAATTATATGTTAATTCTGTGTAATTTATCTCGAATTTCATAATGCAGGTATGTAGTAAGTAACTCAATCTTTTTTTGGGCTTCATAGAAGCTATTATTGGCATACCATTAACCCCTTTTACAGAGTGTCGGCATTAAAAAGAAATAGAATATATACCGTCCTTTCTTGACCTCCATTTTTATGGACTTTGTCCACCTAGTTCATCATGACTTCAAAATATTGTCCACATTCATTACAGGTTTTGTCTGCTAGTTTTTTTTAATTCTTCACTAATGCTATATAATGCAAAAGTGATGTAACCATGAGGTGATTTGGTGTGTAATATTTATTGTCGATCAGATGGATCAACTTCTAATCGGTATATGGACTTTGCAGTGATCTCAAAATTGGTACAAATTGTTTTGGCTTCAGTGTCATCCAATGGCAATCATCTCTTGTCAGCAAAATTGCCTCTATTACAGGAGGAGATTGCACAATAGTTTCACTCAACGTAACATTATAGGAACAAAAATCTATGGTTTGTGACAGGACATCCTCGTACGCTACCAACTCCTTTTGTAGTCTCTCTCCTTTTGAATTTATCTTTTCTAAAAGTACTTGCTTATAGTGATGATAAAAGTAAGCGTCTGTTTTGGAATGTTCAAGAATATTTTTAGAGGAATAAGTCTTATGTGAATTCTCCTTAAAGCTGCCATTTACTTTATGACTAAGATATAATATGTCTTTGTATGTCCAACACAACAATTGTCTTAGCAGTAATAAACTCTCATTCATAAACTCCACAATTATAAAGAATGAGAAGGTTTTGTCCAAATACTGTGTCATATTAACTAGCTCTGTTTTAGAGTATTCAACCATAGGATTAAACCCATAATGAAACGTCATGAAATTTTTAGCGAGGGAATGCATAGAACTGTCATGGCCAGTGGTTATGTTATAACGACCAGGATCGCGTATAAAGTCATCGAGTGGTGGATACCCATGTCTTTTCTCCAAGTTAAACCACGAATAAACGGATAGCAAATGCTGCAACGGATCTCTCCATATACCAATAAAAATCGTATCATTCGGAAGAATTGCTCTCATATTAATTTCGTGAAAAACGGCATGGTTAACAAGTAAATTGAATGACTCATTTATACCTTTGTTGTAAGTAAACCGTTTTGGATAACCTAGATTGACGTCATTTCCTGGTAGAACAAATCGTAGTTTATGGTCTTTACCATATCGTTGGAAAATGTTTGTAACAGTAGATCCAGCACACTTGTGCACTTTGAGAAAGCAAATGTTCTTCCGAGGAGTGCATTTTTTCTCATTATTATGAATGGTATCTGTATCATCATTATATTTCGACTCTGTGTTTTGGGGTTTATGGATTTTCACCTCTGTATTCAATTTGACATCTTCATTTGTTTCTACTTTGGTAAATGTAATATCGCTCGTTGTTCCAATGTTCACTCCATTTGATATTTCTGATTCAATGTCTGTGTCTAAATCTAGAGGTATACCGACATCTTCATCGTCTTCTGATTGTTGCTTCTGTGGCGCTTGATATGTGTTACGTGTATCAGTTGCTGGCTCAGTATGTTCTTTCAACTCCTCCTGGGTTTCATGTTTACTCTCCGGCATAATTTCCATTTCAAGAATAGTTGGTGCGTTGTCTTCAAACCGTCTGGGATTTCCGGTCATTGCAGGGTCCAAACCATTAAAAAACGCAACTGAAATAAAAGCAATTGTCAATACAAATATAATGAGTATTTGTCTCATTTCTGTAAATAAATTGCTTCCACGCTTTCTAGTGCTTGACACTATCATCTGCACTTGTGCTGATTGTCATATAAGCAAAAATTACTTAGGTCATAATTTAAAGTTAACCTTTCTGAAATTTTAATCCATGACTTGAAACAATTGCAATAAAGATGAAACAATAGGCACAGATCAATACTTGCAAATAATGAGATAGTTCATTGATGTTTGAAATCTGATTCATTGATTTATCTTTTAAACACATATTGACATTCTCCTGTGCAGAGTTTTCAGCTGGAGAACCATTCTTCTCTGACGTATAAATCGACTAGGGAGATAATGTTATTGTGTTTTTTATCAAGTGAAAACAATTAGATTTCATAACGTTTGATGCTTTGTGATTTAAACATGGCAATTAGCTCAAGTATCGACAATAAAATCCAAGTCTTTTGAGATGTTAACCCATATGTTGCGCCCTAGATGGAGCTGGAGCTGTACACTACAGACCCGTAGCCAGCTTTTGCCAAGGGGGGGGGGGGGGGAAGGGGTTAAGTTTGATAAAGGCCTAAAATCACTTAATCAAAATGGTGAGAAACTGCATGGTCTTGAAAGAATCGAACCCCTTGCCCTGTCTAAGGGCCTGGACATTGATATAGAAGCGGGACAAGAAGGCATCTAGTTGATTGAAAATCAAATTAAACTGGTAAACGAGTGTGACGAGAAGGGCAATGGGACAAGAACGGCCAACCAGCCTTAAAAATTTATTGTTTTAGATCATAGGTTGCCTGGCAAAAACTGCCATTGAATTGAAATTGAAAATTGAAAATCAACGTATCGAATGTATTTGGTAAAACGTGTTAACCCAGAATACTTGGGTTTCGCTAGAATACTTTGGGAAGAACCGGTGTGGAAACTCAACTGTTCTGGGCTACCCAAGTGTTGCGACATTTTCAAGCAGTATTTGACTCCAATTCTTGTTAGAAAAACCGGAATGATATAATCACCCTTGTATGCAGTAGTTTTGGGTGTTGAGACACGACGGGATTTCCTTGGAGTTTTGTTGCCATCCTCCCATCACAGGGCTTCAACATCTAGAATATAATATCTTCTTTCAAAGGAGGTACGGATTCAGGACACCTGCTTAAGAGGGTGTTTCATTGCATGATCCATCTGAGTTGCATTCTCATTCACCACACAGATACTCAAATTTAGCTTATGTCCAATAAAGGTTCCCCTAGTTTCTATATAGATATCAAACTTCATATAATAAGTTCTACTTGCATTCGCATTGGTAAGAATATTGCGCATTACCAGGCTGCCCCCGTCTTGAAAAAGCCAATACAACAACTGATTTATTTGTTTACATTTTATTTTGTTGGGTATGCATTCATGTCACACCATTGTTACTAGATTACAAAATAATTATTGCTATGCTTTGCATTTTTAGAAACTGTTAATTGTCATCTACAATTGTGAGACGTTCAGTAAATCAGACACTACAGCAAATACTAGTGTTGCAATCTTTCAATGGGGTTAGAATACAGAAGAAACTAATGGCAAAGAAAAAATTCAACTTCATCGAGGTATTTGACCAAAGGTCTTAATTGGGAAGATAGTCGTACAGAACTAGACATGGGATGAACTTAATAGCAATGTTAGGTCGAGTCGCTAAAATTAACAGAGTTCAGACGATAGAATTGCGATATTACAGTACTATGCATGTAAAGGTATGTAGAATTGTAGATCGTCTAGACTAGTCATGATATTATAGCTATACTGGATGGATGGGGAGATGAACATTATATCTATAGAAAGACAGACAAATGAACAGAAAATGCTTAGTATATAAATATATAGATTGGTGGATATATTATATATGTATTTAGAAGAATAGACAGAAGGACAGAAAGGATGATAACTAGATCATGTTTAGAAAGATAGGAAGTGGATTGATGCATGCATATAACTCACAGAATGACAGATAGATGGATATAGTGTACATAGGCTACGTGTATGGATAGATAATTGCATACGCTTTTAAAGAAGGATAGCCAGATAAAGGGGGTGGATAGAAAAGAGATATTTCGATATAAGAATAGATAGCCACGTGGACTGATAAATCATACTCGTTTCCCAATTTGATTTTCAATCACATCATACCTTGGAAATCCAAGATGCTGATGAATAGAGACAAGGATAAAATGAAAATGTAAATCGGGAGATGGGTAAGGGAATATTAATATTTATTAAGTAGACACATGGCGGATTGCTAAATACATCGAAAGATGGGTTCATGGATATTTTGTAATGTAGATAGAGGTAAAGCCGGAAATAAAGATAGATATGAGAGGTTAGATGTGTTTCATGTGTCGTTAAGGATATCGAGAAAGTTAGATAGTTAGGAAAGGGACTAGTTGAATAATATAGATAAGGAGGTAAACTTAAAGAAGCGTAGATATACGCTAGATATATGTATTGAAGAACAGAAAGATAGACGAAAAGGAGATAAAAGTTGTACGAGATTCGTGGATAAATAGATATATAGAAGGATATGCAGAAAGAAGGATAGTTGAATGAATAAAGAGACTAGAAAATAGATATGTATAGCAGGATAGCCCAATGGATAGGAACAAGGATAGACGGATATATAAAGGATATTAAGAAGGACAGACAGAGAGACGGAAAGTAGAAGATGGAAAGATGTTTAGAAAGATAGACGAATAGATAGAAACAAGTGTAGGTAAATATACAAAGGAATATATAGATATTAAGAAGGGCAGACAGAGAGACAGAAAGTAGTAGATGGAAAGATGTTTAGAAGGATAGACGAACAGATAGAAACAAGTGTAGGGGAATAGATAAATAAATAGATAGATATCATGAAGGACAGACAGAGAGACAGAAAGTAGAAGATGGAAATATGTTTAGAAGGATAGACAAGTTTGAAGAAAAGATGACAGTTGAACATATAAATAGAAAGATAAGTGGATAGATAGATATACATGTAGATGTCTGTATAGGTGAATATATAAAGAAATAGATGGGTGTTAAAGTCAGAGAGGGAGAGACAGAAAGTAGTAGATGGAAAGATGTTCAGAAGGATAGACGAATAGATAAAAACAAGTGTAGGTGAATATATCAAGAAATAGATGGATATTAAGAAGGGCAGACAGAGAGACAGAAAGTAGTAGATGGAAAGATGTTTAGAAGGATAGACGAATAGATAGAAACAAGTAGAGGTGAATATACAAAGGAATATGTAGATATTAAGAAGGACAGACAGAGAGACAGAAAGTAGTAGATGGAAAGATGTTTAGAAAGATAGACGAATAGATAGAAACAAGTGTAGGTAAATATACAAAGGAATATATAGATATTAAGGAGGGCAGACAGAGAGACAGAAAGTAGTAGATGGAAAGATGTTTAGAAGGATAGACGAATAGAAAGAAACAAGTATAGATGAATATACAAAGGAATATATAGATATTAAGATTAAGAAGGGCAGACAGAGAGATAGGAAGTAGTCGATGGAAAGCTGTTTAGAAGGATAGACGAATAGATAGAAACAAGTGTAGGTGAATATACAAAGGAATAGATAGATATTAAGAAGGATAGACAGACAGAGAGGCAGAAAGTAGTAGATGGAAAGATGTTTAGAAGGATAAGATATATAGAAAAAATTGTAGGTGAATATACATGCTATAGATAGATATTAAGAAGGAAAGACAGAGAGACAGAAACTAGTAGATGGAAGATGTTTAGAAGGATAAACAAGTATGAAGAAAAGATGCCAGTTGAATAGAAAGATAAGTGGATAAATGGATATAAATGTCTATATACGTGAATATATAGAGGAATAGATAAATGGATATTAAGGTCAGACAGAGACAGAAAGTAGAAAAGGGAAAGATGGTTTAGAAGGATAGGTAGCCTAATAATAGATAGAAACAAGTATAGGCGAGTATATAAAGGAATATATAGATATTACGAAGGATAGACAACTAGGCAGAAGGAAAGATAGTTGAATGAATGGATAGACTACTCAATATAGATAGATGTACTAGTTTAACAGGATACCTTAATAGATAGAAACAGGTGTAGGTGAATATATAAAGAAAAAGATGGATATTAAGAAGGGCAGACAGAGAGACAGAAAGTAGTAGATGGTAGAAGGATAGACAGAGAGACAGAAAGTAGATGGAAAGATGTTTAGAAGGATAGACAAATAGATAGAAACAAGTGACGGTGAATACATAAAGGAATATATAGATAGTAAGAAGGACAGAGACAGTAGAAGGTGGAAAGATATTTAGAAGGATAGGCGAATAGATAGAAGCAATTATATTATATAAAGGAATAGATAGATATTAAGAAGGATAGACACAGAGAGGCAATAGTAGATGGAAAGGTGTTTAGAAAGATAGACAAATAGATAGAAACAAGTGTAGGTGAATAGATAAAAGAATAGATACATACCATGAAGGACAGACAGAGAGAGAGAGACAGGAAGTAGTCGATGGAAAGATGTTTAGAAGGATAGACAAGTATGAAAAAAGGATGACAGTTGAACATATAAATAGAAAGATAAATGGTTAGATAGATATATACATGTAGATGTCTGTATAGGTGAATATATAAAGAAATAGATTGGTGTTAAGGTCAGAGAGAGACAGAAAGCAGAAGATGGAAAGATGCTCAGAAGGATAGAAGAATAGATAGAAAGAAGTGTAGGTGAATGTATAAAGAAATAGATGGGTGTTAAGGTCAGAGAGAGACAGAAAGTAGTAGATGGAAAGATGTTCAGAAGGCTAGACGAATAGATAAAAACAAGTGTAGGTGAATATATAAAGAAATAGATGGATATTAAGAAGGACAGACAGAGAGACAGAAAGTAGTAGATGGTAGAAGGATAGACAAATAGATAGAAACAAGTGCAGTTGGTTATATAAAGGATTAGATATTAAGAGGGATAGACATAGCGACAGGAAGTAGTAGAAAAGTTTAAACGGATAGACGATAGACGAGGATAGAAACAAGTATATAGGTGACGTGATAACGTAATATATATTAGACGAATAGAAGGGAAGGCAGAAAGTGGGATACTTGAATGAATAAAGAGACTAGTAAATAGATAGATGTATAGCAGGATAGCCCAAATGGATAGAAACAACTAAAAACGGATATATAAAGGAATATATAGATATTAAGAAGGTCAGACAGAGAGACAAAAGTAGTAGATGAAAAGATGTTGAGAAGGATAGACGAATAGATAGAAACAAGTGTAGGTGAATAGATAAAGGAATAGATGGATATTAAGAAGGGCAGACAGAGAGACAGAAAGTAGTAGATGGAAAGATGTTTAGAAGGATAGACGAATAGATAGAAACAAGTGTAGATGAATATATAAAGAAATAGATGGATATTAAGAAGGGCAGACAGAGAGACAGAAAGTAGTAGATGGAAAGATGTTTAGAAGGATAGACGAATAGATAGAAACAAGTGTAGGTGAATATACAAAGGAATAAATACATGAAATATATATCATGAAGGACAGACAGAGAGACAGGAAGTACGCGATGGAAAGCTGTTTAGAAGGATAGACGAATAGATAGATGTATAGCAGGATAGCCTAATGGTTAGTAACAAGTATATGTGAATATAAAAAGTTTTAGATATTGAGAAAGACAGACAGAAAGTCAGAAAGTTGTAGATGGAGAGATGTTTAGAAGGATAGACAAATATAAAGAAAATATGATAGTTGAACATATAAATAGAAATATATTAGTAGATAGATAGATGTACTATATATGTCTGGCCTAATGTTGAGAAAGAAGGACTTTTAAAGACATAGATTATGGATTGTAAATTAGATTATAGAAAGTAATTTGGATGTATAAATAGAGAGATACAGATAGACAATGGACACAGGGGAGAGAGAAGAATAAACTTATTATAAAGATAAGAAGAAGGGTTGATAGATCGAAAGAATGATATACTATAGTAGAGGTGAAGGGATACAGAAAGACAGACATAGGAAAAATTGAATCGAGGAATAGACAGATAGAAATATATATAGATAAAGGGATATACAGAGAAGAATAGCTTGATATATTAAATAAGTAAGTGAGTAAGATTTCAGAGACAGAAGTAGATAGGAGGATAAACAGAGAGAGTAGACTGACGAGAGAGGTTGATAGAAAGAATAGAAAAGAAAGAAAGTAGAGTAGA